TACCCAAGATCCCGAGAGGAGAATGGAGGAGAAGGGATTGCGGCGTGGCCATCTCCTCTGGGGGGTGATTTCTCGCTTTCTGTCTCTGTCTGGTGAGCCCACGCGCCCAATAGCAAAAACCTCTCTCAAAAAAAAAAAAAAGAAAAAAGAAAAGAAAAAAAGGGAATTCCCTACAAATGTTACCATGGCAAAACTGGAAGTCTACAATGTTACCCAGCATGCTGTTGGCACTGTTGTAAACAAGTTAAGGGCAAGATTCTTGACAAGAGAATTAATGTGCATGTTGAGTATATTAAGCATTCTAAGAAAACAGAGATAACTTCCTAAAACATGTGAAGGAAACTGACCAGAAAAAGAAGCCGAAGAGGAAGGTACCCGGGTTCAGTTAAAGCACCAGCCTGCTCTACCTAGAGAAGCACACTTTGTGAGAACCAATGGAAAGGAGCCTGAGCTACTGGAACCTATTCCCTATGAATTCATGGCATGATGGGTTTAAAAATAAACTAATCTATGGTCTATTAAAAAAAAAAAAAGCTCAGACTTGTGGAACAGGCTGATGTGTGTGGAACAGGCTGATGTGTGAACATTTAGTGCAGTGTGAGAAGGATTGTGCAAGAGCAAGGAGCCAGGTGTTCTGCGGACAGATGTGGGAACTACCATTTGTGGTGGTTTGGTAAGGCTTTACAAGGCTGGTATTTGTACCAAGATTTAAAGGATAATTAGGAGTTTACCAACTAGAGAAAGTCATTGTAGGCAGCAGAACTGGCATGAGCAGAGAATGGGGCATTTGTGCAAAAATGTCAGTAATTAAAGTGGTTGAATCATTGTATATTTGGTAGGGGAAGGAGGCTGGGTCACACTGAAAGGAGCCGACATTTGTTGAAGGCCTGCTGTATACCATGTGCTTTCCCATAATTAAGTCCTCATCGGGCCAATTTTAGTAGGTTCATAAAGCCTGAATAACTTGCAGAGAGACCAACATTCAAACCCAGTTTTGTCTGGTCCAGTAGCCCAACACTGCTAAGGATTTTGGTCTATGTTAGATATGTGATCGGTACCCACAGGGTTTTAAGAGTGGCAAAGGTTAGAGCTATATTTTACTGAGATCGTTATGCTAGAGGGTGAAGCTGAGTGGAGCTTAGAAAGAGGTGGTGGCAGGGGGATGATGGCTACACTTAGGTCTAGTGTTTATCTGATGGTTTCTATCCCACCTGCACTCCCAAACAGGACAGAGGGTGTATGTGGAGTCAAGAAAGAAAGCACGACCTCCCCACCCCCAGTGAGACCTGATCATGCCCTAATCTTTTTTCTCTCCAAGTCTTCATTCTGTCAGTGTCGTTATGCCTACATGTGCACATGCTCATGGTTTTCAAGCTGATGGACTGGAGCTCAAACCCTAGTTGGTCATGAGAGAGTCTGCTTCCTGTGTGCAGTGCTTAAACTATTTGCAACAGGGACAGCCCCCCAAACTAATTGATTGCAACTATTTTGAAGCCCCATAGAAAAGCTGCATCCGTGTTCATAATCTTGCAGTGGTGACTACTGGTGGTGAGTCTATGGGGAGCTGCAGAGAGCAGCAGCGCCCGGGGCTGATTTTACAGCCCCCCAAATGGAAAGTCATCCTGAGTGCAAAAGCTCCTTGCAGTGCTTGGCGCAGGCCCTTCCTTCCCTCAAAGGCTGATCTCAGCCATCCTACCTGAGTCTTCCTTTATTTTTCTGGAGAGTGACAAACTGTGGCATCCCTTTACTTGACTATGTACATTTCCCAAAACTCAACTACGTGAAGCTAGGGTGGTGGCGCAGTACTCTTATGTAATTCAGCTTCCGTCTCAGATGCCAGGCGTCTCCCACACCCTCTGCTCTGTGGGCAGAGAACTCACTGGGAAGCCCAGGAACTGGCTAAAGCTGTTAGTTCAGCTTTCAGTGAGCATAGCTTCCACTAAATCAGTTCTGGTATGAAGACTATGACTCTCTGTTCAGGGGACATGATGATCCTCAAGGTCAGTAACAACGTCTGTTCTCCAGGAGAACATCCGCTCTTGATCTGCTGAGAATCCTAACGTGTCCAGCTGTCTCTTTAGCCCTGGGCTCAGGGCTCTTCTGGTCAAGGCTTTGTTGCTTATTCACTTTATAATATGCTGGAGAAGAGTTGCCAGGAAGGTGGCTCATGTGTTCAGGTAAAAATGAATAGTTTTATGCAGCGACCACTGTTGATCACAGCAGTTTTTTTTTTTTTTTATTTAAATTCAGCTTGTCCAGTATCTGATTTCAGCTTTTAAAATAGTTCTTAGCTCTCAGGTGTTTTTACTATTAACCAGACATGGCTTTCCATAATGTTTAGCACTCCAGAAGCCCTTTGGGAGTGATGTCCCCAGGGCTCAGAACTGCACAAGGGTGCGTGCAGCTGGAGGGGGCCTATGTAATTGCCTTTCCAGATGAGCATGTTAGACTATGCGCCCACTGTTCTTGGAGGAATGACTGAAGGCTCATTTGCTACTCTGGACACTTAACTGACAGGATCTGTCAGCTTCTGAGTCTTCAAAGGAGTCAAAGAACAGACAATCTGAGAGGGAGACATTTTAGCTAGGGAGCAGCTGTGGAGATTGACGTGGTAAACCTCACTGGTTTGTTTAGGTCCCAGGTTTTAGCCAAAATACTTAACAAAAAGTTAAGTATTCTTTTGGATGGAAGCCAGTGTTTGTCCTGGAGTAACTCCCCAAGGAGGGGGAGTGATGGCCATTCCATCTGTGGGAATGAGCAGAGGCAGACTGTGCTCTAAGCCAGTGCTGGTACTTAACTAGTCTGTAACGTCAGTAAGTCAGTTGACTAACCTCTCCGTGCTCAGTTCCTTTGTCGTCTGTGGGATGGGGATGATAAGAACAGTCCTACCATGCAGGGTTACTGTGAGGATTAAATGAGTTAATATGCATAAAACTACTATGAATAGTATCTGGCACAGTGCCCACTAATGCCAGCTGCTAGGGTTAACAATGCTGGTAACAACATGGCCCTGCTCCCGACGGTTACCTTGGCATGTGTGAGCACCACCCAGATAGCCCTTGTCCAGCCTACTCAGGTAAAGAGCATGACGTCCACCTCCCCCTCCATTATGACCGCAATGAAAGCTGACTTTAACAGGGAAAGGCCCTGAGAATTGAGACTGCATATAAGGACAAGTCAATTTTCCTCTCTGAGCAGTTTGCTTGTCTAAAGAATGAGGAAACTGATCCCTGTCATGATGGGTTCCTGCTGTGGCTGGGAGAACAAATGGGATCAGGCATGAGAGGGGACTTCGGACAGACATGAGGGCACATTGCAAAGACTGCACAAGCACATAGCAGACCACTGGGCTCTGGGTTAGGCATTCTTTGGTATGAAGTTCCCTGGGGCTTCTCTCTGGGCCTCACAAGAGCCTAACCTGTTCTGTCTCTGTTTTCTCGGCCCCTTTTTTCCTTTTTCCTGATTGAAGCTCTGGGTCTAGGGTTTGATTCTCAGTTGGTCATGTGGGAATCCAATGCCTTAGCCACCATACCATTTATTATCTTTTAAAAATTTTTTGCTCTAGGGCACATGCACCAGAAAGAGACAGAGAGACAGAGAAAGTGAGAAAGCAAGCCATGGTCGGGGACTTGAACCGCAGTCATCCATGTCAGAGTTTAGTGCCCCAACCACCATACTACCCAGTGGCTCCCAGTTTTGTTTTTTAAATAAAGAAAAGTTGCTCACATGGATCTTGAATTTCAGCTGTGAAATATTGCCTTCAGGGAATTAAAATGAAGATTTTCTGCTGAGACTTCCCCCTCCACACTCATTTCTAGTGGGTAGTGCTTCTTGTCTCCTTTTCTCCATTTCTCTCTGTCTCACACTGTGCCTTTTAACATCTTTTTTCATTTTGATTATTATTTTTTTTCTTTTTGGAGAGGTTTTTTCTATAGAGCACGTGCGCTCGCCAGCCAGACAGAAACAGAGAGACAAAAAGCGAGAAATCACCCCCCAGGGGGATGGCCATGCCGCAATCCCTTTTCCTCTATTCTCCTCTCGGGATCTTGGGCACACACGCAGACGTGCATGGCGTGAGTTTAAGCCACCAGGTCCAGGACTCGAACCACAGTCGACTACATGGGAGTCCAGGAACATAGCCATTACGCCAACTGCTGGTCCCATCTTGCAAGATCTTAAAGAGGAAATTCACACTCTAAAAAAGAATCAAACGGACCTGTTAGAGATGAAGGCTATAGTACAGGAAGTCTACACCTCCCTTGAAAGTATTAAAAGCAAACTAGATCATAGCAAAAATCAAATCTCAAATGTAGAAGACAGAATCACTGGTCTAAAAAATCCACCATGAAGACTAAGGAAGTTGCCCAATAAAATGAGAGTAATGTACAAGAAATACTAGATACCATCGAACATCCAAACGTCCAGATAATTGGTATCCCAGAAGGAGAAAAGACTCATAAGGGCATTGACAATCTATTCCATGAAATCCTGAAAGAAAACTTTCTGAACCTAGAGAGGCACTCAAAGAACCAGTCCCAAGAAATACAAAGGACCCAAATAGAATCAACCCAAGAAGATCTTCTCCAAGACACATTATAGCCAAATTGACCAAAACCACAAAGACAAGATACTAAGATTGGCAAGAGAGAAACGGCAAGTTACCTACAAAGGATTTCCCATCAGGCTAACAGCAGACCGCTCATCGGAAACAATGCAAGGGAGGAAAGAATGGGAAAACATATTCAAAGTGTTGAGTAAAAAACAATTTCAGCCAAGAACACTATATCCGGCAAGATTATCCTTCATATGGGAAGAAAAGACAAGAACGTTCTCAGTTAAACAAAACCTGAAAGAATTTACCAGCACCAGATCTCCAAGAAGTTCTGCAGGGAGTCCTATACCAGGAAAATTAAATATAGTCACACAGAAATAAGAGTTCAAAAACTAAGAAAATGGCCAACTTAATCATAGGGACAAGTCTGGAGATGAATATTATACCCCAGCATTTAATTGGGAAGATCAACCATAACAGAAGATAGATTAAGTACATGAGGCTGAACTGGTGAAATAGAATTTTATAACTTTTGACTAAAATATTGCTGATTTTCTTCTAGGCTCTGTTCTTGTTTTAAAAATTTTTGTCCTGTCTTGAACTGCCAATAGGTTCATGTACCTATTATTTGAACAGAATTCTAACTTGTTTCCTGGCTTTGAGTAGTTTCTTAGCATTTCTTTGATTTATTAAAGCTAAAATTGCTTTTCTTGAAATTAAAAAATATAGTAAAAAAATACCTAAGTAATGACCATAGTAAGCTATATAGCATCAGCTGGCTGCTACCTTATAGTATATTCATTCTACTCAGAGTTTCATGCCTAAAGTCAGACATGTGTTCACAGATATGTATATACCAGCTGAACTTGCTATTGAAAGTAGTTAGATTATTTAAGAAATTTTGTAAATCAATAAAATGTGGGGGGAAAAAGGAATAGAAAACAACTGTGGACACCTGAGATAATGTGATAATGTGGGAAGAGGGTGGGAAGTGGTATATGATGAGAAATACAGGAGGAATGTATATATATATATATATATAAAACTAGAAATGGAAAATTATTGATGATAACAGATATGATTAAGCCACTATGCAGTATATTCTGGATGGGAAATCACATTTTGTATGCTGTGACAATGCTCAGTGAATGAATGTAAATTAATTAATTAAAAAAT